AGTGACTTCTTGTTATTTCTGTGGTAACTTCTATGGCTACAAACACGTATTGTCGCTTCTGGGAAGTTTGAGGGAGGGGGCTTATGAAATTGCATTGCCATATTTGCCACGCTATTTCTCTCCCACATAATGACAACGGGACAGTCGGGAAAGGCTTTAGTTGCATCTTGACCTTTTGGCAGGTGATGCAAGCATTAACTATTTCCTGTGCCTCTTTCTTAGTTACATGAGAGCCCCAAGACGCAGCCAGGCAGGCGGTTCCATCATGCCCGGGGTGCTCGTGTTGTTGATGTAGCTATTTTGTGGCTCGTTCTCTAGGTGTGCAGTGGGAGGAGGAGTCGGGCAATGATGGACTAGTTGCTTCATTTTTTTTTAATATACAAGGTTTCAGTTGACCTCTTTTTTGGTCAACTGATTAACTTGCCTATTTTACTTTGCCTCTGGGATTTTTTTTGCTTTATTCCTATGTGCTGCACTCACGTGTCAGATGTGTAGAGGGAGCTCATCTTGGGCTAACTTTTACAAGGTTTTCTATTGCTCGTGGCTCTAAATGTCTTGTCTTTTAAAGTGTTTTTGTTCTATAGGGGTAGCTATTTAGTGCATCCTTCTACAACTATTTAGGAGTCGCTATAAATGTAAATGGGCTTTACAGGATGTGGACCATTTAACAATTCTTATTTAGCCATGGCGAGCACTGAGCTGAGCTCAGCATACACCAGATGCTTTCTGTCAAGGCTGGTAGTGACAGAATGGCAGCCATCAAGGGGTCAGTATTAGCATGTAAAGCTCAAAAGCCAATAGTCAGCCGCTACCTTCTATTTGGCTTACACACTGGCCACACTGGATTGTTATATGGAGAGTGAGTTTGGATAATAGTTGCGTTTTTTAATTGCTGGCTTATAATACACTGGATAGGTTGTGTGGCCTCGGGCGGGGGGGGTGTTCAATACTGGGGCCGGTGTACTCCTTTCATGGGAGGCAGGGTTAATGGGGTCATGCTACGTCAAGTTACAGCTGTTATAGCCATTTCTTCAGGTTTCTGATGAGGCACTGTGCACTTAAACTGCCAATTCTCTCACTCAAGGGCAAACTGCTGTCTTCTTAGTACATTAAGTACTTAGTACTGTTCAATTTCTTCATCAGCGATCTGGATGATGGGGTGGATAGTAACCTGTTTAAATTCGCTGATGACACCAAAATTTGGGGGGAGGTGAGCACGCTAGCAGGGAGGGAGAGATTGCAGAGGGATCTGGATAGGTTACAGGGGTGGGCTAACAGGAACAGGATGCGTTTCAATACGGACAAGTGCAGGGTGCTGCACTTGGGCAGTAGGAACCAGCAGCACACTTACACAATGGGGAACTCCCTACTCGAGAGCACGGAGGCAGAAAGAGATCTTGGAGTCATTATTGACTCCAAGATGAACATGGGCCGACAATGCGAGGTCATGGTTGGCAGGGCTAACCGGACCTTGTCGTGCATCCACAGGTGCATCTCGAGTAGAGCCAAGGAGGTGATCCTCCCCCTCTACGCGACGCTGGTCAGGCCACAGCTGGAGTATTGTGTCCAGTTCTGTGCGCCCCATTTCAGGAGGGATGTGGACAACATGGAGAGGGTCCAGAGGAGGGCCACCCGCATGATCCGGGGACAACAGGGCAGACCCTACAGTGAGAGACTGCGGGACCTGAACCTATTCAGCCTCCACAAGAGAAGGCTGAGGGGGGACCTGGTGACCGTCTATAAACTCACTAGGGGGGACCAGAAGGGTTTGGGGGAGACGCTGTTTCCCCTAGCGCCCGCTGGCATAACAAGGAGTAATGGGCACAAGTTGATGGAGAGGAGGTATAGATTGGACATCCGCAAGAACTACTTCACAGTTAGGGCGGCTAGGAGCTGGAACCAACTTCCAAGGGAAGTGGTGCTGGCCCCTACCCTGGGGGTCTTTAAGAAGAGGCTGGATGCCTACCTGGCTGGACTCATTTGAGTCCCGTTTCTCTTTTTGGGGTTTTTTTGTTGTTCTCCCGCCCTGGCGGGGGGGGTCGGGCTAGAAGATCTACTACGTCCCTTCCGACCCTTAATCTATGAATCTATGAATTAAGTCTCAGTAAGTTTGGTCCCCCTTTAAGTATTACTGCTGCCGCCGTTACCTTAAAACTATTAGGTAGCGCAAAGGTTGCTCAGACCAGATGTACTGGTTGTCTAGTGCCTCTGACGCTAATTACTTGTGTCGAAGGCCTTCCTAAAATCCAGAAAGACTATGTCCACTGCTACCCCTGCATCTAAGGATTTTGTGACCTGGTTGTAGAAGGCCACCAGGTTGGTCTGACAGGACCTGCCTCTAATGAACCCGTGTTGGTTGCCCCTAAGCATAATCTCCCCTGCTGGCCCCTTGTGGACATGTGCCAGGATAATTCTCTCAAAAAGCTTATCCAGGATGGAGGTAAGACGAACTGGCCTATAGTTTCCTGAGTCCTCCTTCCTCCCTTTTTGAAGATGGGAACCACGTTGGCCCTCTTCCAGTCCTCTGGCACCACACCAGAGCACCACAAGTGCTTGTACAGCCATGCCAGGGGTCCCTCAATGACCTCGGCTAATGCCCTCAGCACTCTAGGGTAGAGATCATCCAGACCAGCTGATTTTAAATACATCCAGTCCCTCCAGAAGTTCCCTGACTAGATCCTCACTGACCCTTGGCCTAGGTGTGCCTCCCCTGGGGCCTGAGGTGGTCCTGGTGGGGGGGCTGTTTTGGTCCCTGCTCGGGAAAATGGACGCAAAGAAGTTGTTAAATAGGTTAGCTTTGTCATCTGGTGTGACAACCAGATTTCCTAGCATGTCTTGCAGGGGCCCCACATTACCTGGTACCCTCTTTTTGCCCTCTATGTATTTAAAAAAGGAGTTGAGGAGTCCAACAGTGAAGAGCCATTCTAGAAAGCCAGGCTAGCATATTAGCAATCATTGTTATAATTAAAATGTTGCAAGAGGGTAAAGATCATGTCCAGGCAATGCTATGGGAATGGAAATGCTGTGATGAAACTCTGAAGCTGCAGCAAGCCTCAGGCTTGATATGTCCAGGAGTACACATGATGTTTCTCCAGAGAACTGGGAAACAACTTGTTCCACAAAAATTCCATTTTTTTGGTAAAAGTATATTCTAGAGGTGATTCATTGACTATCTTTCAAGGAAAACAGTTCAGATGAAGGGGGCAGTTGGGCACAAAGAGTGGACTCAGAAAATTATCTTCAGTCCAGGCTTGGATTCCTCCAGGGCTCGCAATTCAGCCTCCACTTCAGAACTCCAGTAGATGTCATACAACCTGACAAGACAAGGGAAAAGACTCAGCTCCTTCCAAATCACTTAAAAGCTTCAGGAGAGCCTTTGGCACAGAGCACACCTCTAATAGGATGCTATGTAATGAGGAACCCATTCATCCAGAAGGCATTGTGTGGGCCTATAAAATGTTGCCAGGCCTGGGAACCCTTAAACTGAAAGAGGTCTGCTACTCCAGGGTCCCTCTTCAGCAAGACTAGTTCCTGCCTCTTGAGACAAAGTCACAAGTGGCCCTGCACATACACCTAGTTCTAGCACAGAGGAGTATTCAGATTTGATCAGAGTCAAGGCCCATCTAGTCCAGAATCCCATTTCCTATTGCTTTACAAGTGCAAGAGAGTGCTCTACCCTGCTGTTCCACTTCGGAGGAGTCCCCAGGTAGTCAGATACAGGCCACAATATCAGTCACAGCAAGGGATTGGATTAAGGGCCTGTATGAACCAAGAAACAAGCAAGCTTTGCTTTCCTAGTCCAAATGGTCAGACTAGACATGTCTGAGGATTTTAGAGTGGTAAGCAAGGAGACACCCTGAGCTCAGCTTTGTAACTCAGTGGGCGTTCAACATGGAGAATGAACTCTCCCTCTCTCCTCTGCCTCCTGCTGAAGCAGTGGGACTTGCCTGCTTGTTCCTTCCAAGTTCACTAGCTTCCATAATGCTGCCCAAGGAACAGAAATGGAAGACCATCACCAGGACTTTCCCTCTCAAAATTCAAACTCTGTCAACAACAGACTCATGCAAGTGCCTTTGAACTCAGCAACAGCCAGAAAGTTCCTGGAAGGCCTTTTCCTGGAGGACCATGTGATCAAACAGGCTTTCAGCAGAGGCCAGCTGTTTGGGAACCACAGCTGTCAGTTATGAGGTGTAGGAACCATCGCCATGCCATCAGCCACTTGTAGCTGTGACAGGGACAGGACCTTCAAGCACCTCCCTTGGAGGTTTTCTCTTGTGACAGATCAGTGTGTGGTATAGTTCCTATATGGCAGTGGTTGTCAACTGGGGGATACACATATCGCTAGGGGCACTTAAAAGTGTTGTAGGGAGTATGCAGAACTCCACATGCATGTGGCCAGGAGCGCAGCCCGGCCATGTGGAGTGCATCGGGGTCAGGCTGGTAAGTCTGTTGTGGGAGGAGGAAGTGGAGCTGGGGCTGCCCAGCTGGGGTGGGGCACGGGACTGAGCTGCATAGAGTGGGGGTGGGAGGCGGCTCCTGCTGCTACACGCACCCCAGGAGGACATGGAGGGCATGTGCCCCTGGATCTGCGTATAGGGCAGTGTGTGCTCAGGGCAGGTGGTGGCAGCACTGGGAGGGGGGCTGGGGCAGGGCTACTGCAAAATTCTGGAGTGGCTGCAGCCCCTCCCCCCTGCATAGCTCCACTCCCGTAGGCCCCCACGGTGAGGGAAGAAGTGAGGCTGGGTGTGTGCAGTGGTAGGAGCCACCCTGCCTCACATCTCCCAGACTAGCCGCTCATGGCTCTGTCCCATACTCTGCCCCAGTTGGGCAGCACCTGCCCCTGCTCCAGCCCCAGCCCCACTCCCTCCCTCACCACAAGGACCTACGGGAGCAGGGAAGCAGGGGGCGTTACAGCCACTCCAGAATTCTCCATAGCCCCCCACCCCCCTTCCCAGTGCCGACAGCACCTGCCTCAAGTGCAACCCGGCCCAGCCCCCTGCCGGGAAGAGCCCAGTGCTGCAGCCCCCAGCAGCAGCCTGTCTACACTCCACGCACAGATCCAGGGGCATATACCCCCCACATCCTCCCAAGGTGTGCAGAGGTTTAGGAGCCACCCCCACACCCCCCAGAGGAGCCACTGGTGGCTCCATCCTGCGCCCCAGCCTGCCTCACCCTGCCACACTCCCTCCCTCACCGAGGGGCCTCGATCTGCCTCCCCCCACCCCCCTTAAGAACAAAAAAAAAAATAAAAGGGATACATGAGCTGAAACTTCAAGACAGAAGGGGTACACTTGTTAAAACAAGCTGAATAACCCTGCTGTAAGGGACTGTGTCATGGGTGTGGCCATGCGCTCTAAACAAAGCAGGCATGGAGTATCATGGAAAGATGTTGGCCTTTGACAAGAAGTCATCAGATCCCATTTGTCAGCAGCTTCCTCAGAGGGGCCTATGCTCACTGCCCCAAGTCCCTAGGCAAGCCCCTTTTTTTCCCTCCATTTTATCCAGAGAGGAAGCCAGGGTTGTTACCTACATTAGGTACTTCAGTTTGCAGTTGGGGCTTCTCACAGCTTCGCATAGCTTCCTTACACCTTCATTCTCCAGCCTGTTAACATCCAGCCCCAGGTATCTAAGGCACTGCTTGGTACTGATGACAGCAGCAAGACTGTCACAACAAGCAGCGGTGAGCTCGCTGTCCCCCCAGCCTGCAGGGAAAGGGCAAAACAAAGATAAAAGCTATTTTTTAAGCACACGCTCCGTTGGTGATGTATACAACCCTCCTCTCTGTTTCCAGCCACGGGACATGTATACATGGTCCTTCTGGAGTATCTGACAAACAAAGCTTGGAGCAGACTTGTACAGCCTCAGTGAGGTGCTGCCCTCGCCAATGTGGAAGCCCCAGGGGTAGAATGTGGCTATTCTTCACTAGTAGAATTAGATCTATGTTTGTGGTAGTACTAATGCAATGTATAATATACCACAAGACTGACATTTCTGTAGCACCCTTCATTATCACTTGGTTTATAAGCAGTATGAGTTTTCCCCAAGTAAATGCTACACACACTGTGCAAAGACCCCTGCCCCAATCAAATCCAGTTAGCAGGACTGTCAGGTGTTCATTGTAGGGAAGACAAGTTTGTGCTTTCACTGGACTGACCTATTTTAAGCTACTCTCTTCTTACATTTCTCTAAGGGAGACAAGACTACACATGTACAAGGCCTATCATTACTGGACTATTTAAAGGTGATAAGGAAAAAAAACACTATCCTGGAAAAAAAAAAAAAAAAGTTTATTCTGAACACCAGTACATCAATCACCACAGGGACAGTTTAACCAAGTGTTGCCCACTCTTAAGTCATCTAAGAGCATCGACCCTTGATTACTTTTCCATTGAGTGGGTGAAAATCAAGACAACACCCAGACAAGTGTGTAGCTTAATTTTCTTGTCTGTGTCTGTGAAAGGGCAAGTGATCCAAGTGGTCAGCACCTCCCTACCCCCCAAGTCCCAGAGAGTCAGGGCTGGCCTCAGCAGAAGGCTTTTACCAGACTGTGGCTTCCAGGTCTCACCTCTGGCATGTAGAACCAGCACTAGGGTGGGACAATGCACGATTTCATGGCTCTTGCCCATTCAGCCACATGTAGCTAACACACCTGGAGCTATGGTGAGCAGCACCAGGGTTTCTGCATTAGTAAATGGCACAAGACTGCACAAGTGGTCTGGCTGCTTCCAGGCCAAAATGAAATTTGTGCTCATGAATGAGGCAACACTGACTTTTGGGCAGCCCAGAGCAGGCACTCAGTCCCACAGTACTGCTGATGCCCACTAATGTGGGCCTACTAGATATCCAGCCAGGGTTGGAACAACATGCGAATAGTGGAAGAGGCAGAGGCTAGGAAAAATCCCACTGCCCTCCTGATGCAAGTCAGGACTTTTACTATGGCAGGACACAGGAACTTGCCATGTGGATCAGTCCCGTGAGCTGTCCACCCCCATTCTCAGTTGGCCATGAGATGCCAGCCTGTTAGGAGGATGTTAAAGTTGCTACTTACCATATGGTCTCCAAATTGCAGTTAGTGTCCAGCAGTCCCTCACAGATCAGTTTTGCTCCTTCATCTTTTAGCCTGTTTGAGCCTATTTCCAGGTGTTTCAAGGACTGTTTTGTGCTGAGAATGGAGCGGAGGCTCTCACAACAGGCACTGGTGAGGCCACACTCTTTTAGCCTGCCACAGAGAGAAGAAACCAGAACTTCAGGAACTGAAAGGGGTCTCCTTCATGTCCACTGGCTTTACTCACGTGTGTCCTCTCTCCTAATGTGGGTGCTTGGAGCTCTTTCTTCCCAAAGAGCCTGCCTTCCTGGCAGCACATGGGCCTTTTATCCTCAGTGTCTGTGGCTCCCTGAGTAGCTGCACATTTGCCACCCTTGTTCGTTTTCAACATCCCCATGTCCAAAGTTCATGTATCCTGTGACATCACATTTTGGCTGTCCATGAACTCAGGCAAGGGCATATTCCTGGGCTTTTGATTAGTAAGCATCTCTCTTCACTAAAAGCTTTAATGTTCACTTTCACGAAGACACCTCACACTTCCCAGAGGTTGAGGGGCAGGTAAACCTGGCCGCATGGGCAACAGAGTAATCAGTCTGCACTCTTGGCTTGAAGGGTCACAAAGGTATTTTGCTTGTGAACGCTCCCCCTAGGGGGAAGTTCACTTCTTTCTTTTGTGTACAAGACACCAGAAAACCTCAGGTTTTTCTATACCTTGTCAGCACTAAGCTGACAGAGAAAGGTTTATGCAACTGGGACTCAATATAGCTGGCTGGGACTGCAAAACCACTGTAAATTGGCATGTAGGTTTGAGTCAAAGGCTTCAAAAGAGAAGCCCTGTGTGTTTACAGTCAGCAGAGAGACTTCCTTTATCCCTGGAGACAACTGCTGCCCCTGGTAAAGGATTTGACTTTTCCTCTCTCAAATATGAAGACATTCCGAGACATCTTCTTTAAAGCTCAGATATTCAGGCTGCAGTGAGAAGTGGCAACAGAGAAGAATGGAGTCTAATACCAACCATGAACTATCAGATCATTAGATCAGGCCTTTCCAGGCCCTTGGCTTACAAGGTTGGACTGGTTTTGAAGAAAATGGCATTATATTTAATGGGAGGTCATTCTGGAGAGTGAGGCTCAGTTTCCTACCTCTCAACTGAAAGGTCATGGGGTGGATTTTCAGGGTGTCTATGGGAGTCAGAAACATATGTTCTGTTAAGCAAGTGAGGTCTTTACACCTAAACTCTGTAAGTGACATAGAAAGCAAAAATGTGCCATTCTATCTGTTTTGCCCAATAAAGTGGATCAGCTTTGCCAGGGCACATCTCAGCACAGCTGATATGCTTCATTTGCCAACATCTGCTTATAGCAGGGGCGGGCGATTATTTTGGGCAGATGACCGCTTACCCAGTTTTGACAAGCTGTCGAGGGCTGCATGGGTAGCCCCACCCCTTGACAGGTGCCCCACCCCCTGACCACCATCTTGGGATCAATGTCCCAATGTCTTGGGACCAGTGTCCCAGGGCCAGCACCAGTGGGGCCCAGAGCAAGACACAGGCTGGCAGGAGTCTGTGGAGCCGGGCTGGGCTGCACCAGCAGGGAGAGTGGGAAGCTGGCCTGGCTCCAAACAGCCCCTGCTGGCCGGGACCCTGTACCCCTGCCACCCTGCTCTGGGCCCCGCCAGTGCTGGCCCTGGGACACCGGTGTGGGCCCCACACAACCGCTCACTCCCAGCATCCCCCCAGCCCCCTGGTATAAGCGGGGGGCAGCACATACCCCTGACCTCCTGCTCGCCAGCAGGGAATGAGCTGGTGCTGAGAGTGGGGAAAAGCAACACCTCGCCTGCCTGGTGCCCAGCGCTGCAGCCACTTGCAGCCCGTGTGGGCCTGCCTGTGCCTGCTCAGGACAGCCCCACACAGGCTATGAGCAGGTGCAGCAGGGAGCACCAGCTTTGGGGTGGGGGAGAGGCAGCTTTTCCCCATGCTCAGCTTTTCCCTAGGCCCCTTCCCTGCTCGGGCCCCTTCCCTGAGGTTCTGGCACTGGGGCAGCCATGTGGTCCCAGGCCAGAAGCCCCTCTGGGGTTTCCAGCAGGGGGTGGCAGGTGGGCCCTGCTGTTACAGGAACCCGCCAGGCTTCACCTGGGTCCTGTCATTTTTGACAGGAACCAAGGACAGATCAATATTAATTTTCTAAATTTTTTAGGGGCCCCATGGGTTGGATAGAAGGGCCTCACAGGCCATATTTTGCCCACCCCTGGCTTATAGCCACTCAAAGTCAGCATCGGTTCCCTGCAGGATCACCATGAAGCCTTACCATGTAAGGCACCACACAGTGCAAGATAACAAGGTCGAACGGCCATAAACTCCTCCAAGACCGTTTCAGGCTGGACATAAGGAAGAACTTCTTTACTGTCCAAGCCCCCAAGGTCTGGAACAGACTGCCGTCAGAGGTGGTTCAAGCACCAAAGTTGAATGCCTTCAAGAGAAATTTGGATGTTTATCTTGCTGGGATCCTATGACCCCTGCTGACTTCCTGCCCCTGGGGCAGGGGGCTGGACTCAATGATCTTCTGAGGTCCCTTCCAGCCGTAATGTCTGTGAAATCTATAAGTATCAAATCTACAACATCAGTGTTTGCGCTGAAAGTCTACTGCACTTAGGACAGAAACTGGAGTTTGCATTTTGGGTCCTTCAGTCCTTGGCACAGCATTTCCATTCCTGCATCTCCCAGCTCATTCAAAGTCAGGCTCATTCATCTGAGGGACTCTTTTGTACCAATGACATTGGCAAGATCCTTACAACCTACAGCTGTGAAATGACATTCCCATAACTTAGAGAGAACAAAAGAAATATTTGCCGGTGCCAGGCTTTTCCCAGTCAGGGACCAGAAAGGCCTATATCACCCAGACAGGTAGATCTTCAGAAAGAGCTTTTACTCTCAATTTCCTCGCATTTCGCTCTGTCGTACATGCATGTGCACACACACAAAGGCACAGGAAATCACAGCTTTCCCTTCCTTCCCTCCTCCCCTTCCCTTAGAAGCTCTGATTTTATTTAAATACAGAAAGAAGGTGGCTCTTCAACTCATCTAAAAACTGATGAGAGCTGGCATGCCATCATCCCTCTTCAGCAGGATATGACCTCAGTGTGCTTCCTTGCCCCTTTAGTGCGGGGTTCCTCAGAAACCCCAGGAAAGAAGGGGGAGATTTGTTGTTTCCATTAGAAGCATCCCCTCTTCATAGCATCATAGAGAAGTAGGGCTGAAAGGGACCTCCATAGTTCAACTAGTCCAACCCCCTACCTGAGGCAGGATCATCTCTACCCAAACTACCTATACAAATCCACTGTCTAACCTATTAGCAAAATTATACCCTCAATTCTGATACAACACAAAACATAACAACCTAACCCACTACAGGTAAAGCAGGGGGACCACAGCAGCCAATGCCCTGCTTTTGTTAGGGCTGTTCGCATATGCTCAAGAGATTCTAGGAAGGGGGCCAGGACCCAACTGCAGAGGAAGCCACAGTCCACACCAGTCTGATCATGGGATAAAATTCCTTCCTGACCACAAATATGGTGATCAGTCTGATCCTGAGTGGAGGGGCAAGACCTTTTAGCCAGGAACTTCTGGGTTTAAGTCCCAGCAGGAGCACTAGCATGCACCAGTCACAATACCCTGCCTTGGCTGCAGCCAACAGGGTTCTTCACATCCACCCCCAACCCCCATGGGAGAGGTTTGTTGTTCCCATTAGAAGCATTCCCTCTTCACAACCATAAGAAATATGCTGGCTGAGGACTCTACAGACCAAGCAGGATCGGATCAGCATTATGGTGGACACATGGCTTAGAAGCTACCATCTTCACCAAGATTTTAAGCCACCCCAGGCTTTACTTACCACAGCTTCTGTATATTGCAGTTGGGATGTATCAGTCCCTTGCACAACAGACCTAGGCCTACATCTCCAATATTATTGTTATCCAAAGCCAAATCTAGCAGAGAAGGTTTTGTATTGAGAACAGTGGCCAGGTCCCCACAGCTATCAGCCGTCATGCCACAGTTCTCCAGACTGTAAAGAAGAGAAGAATCAATGTTCAGTAGGAAGCGTACCCTAAGTTGGAATTGTTGGGGGCATCTCTGCAAGCAGAGGATTGCTTAGTTCCCCTGTTTGCAGAGACATGCCCCAAGTGATGTCCTTCAAGTGTGGGCCCCTGCTGCTCACAGGAGCATCAGGGACCCAGCACTGCAGGACAATAGGCAACGTCCGTTTTGCCCACTGAAGTGGATCAGCTTTGCTGGGACATCTCAGCACTGCTGATTTGCTTCATTTGAGAACTTCTGTTGATAGCTCCTAAAACTCAGCATCAGTTCCCTGCAGGATCACCATGACGTACGGCCTTATTATATAAGTACCATGTAGTGGTGAGCAGGGGGTTGGACTAGATGACTTCCTGAGGTCCTTTCTGGCCCCAATTTTCTATGATTCTAAGTATCAAACCTACAATATCAGTAACTGAGCTGAAAGCCTGCTGCAATAGAGACTGGAGTTTGCATCTGGGGTCCTTTAGTCTTTCACACAGCAATTCTACTCCCCCATCTCCCAGCTGATATAAAATAAGGCTCATCTGTATACAGGACTCTTTTGTGCCAATGGTATTGGCAAGATCCTTACAACCTGCAGCTGTGAGATTGCTATTGCCATAACCTGGAGAGGACAATAGGAAGATTGGCTGGTGCCAGAATTCTCCCAGCCAGGGTCCAGAGAGACCTGTGTCACCCAGACAGGTAGATCTTTGGAAAGAGCCTTTACTCTTGGTTTCCTTATATTTCTCTCTCCATCTTACATGCACATGTGCACAAACAAAGCACAGATATGGCTTCTAAACAAAGGAAAACATAGCTTTCCCCTCCTTCCCTCTTCCCCTTCCCTTAGAAGCTCTAATTTTATTTAAAAATGTAGAAAAAAGCTGCATATGCAAGTCACCTGAAAACTGATGAAGGCTGGCATGCCATCATCCCTCTATCTGGTCACTGACCTCAGTGTGCTTCCTTTCCCCATCTGTGCAGGGCTCCTCACACAAACCCCAGGATCAGATCCGCCTTATAGTGGATATGGCTTAGAAGCCACCACCTTAAACAAGATTTTAAGCTATCCCAGGCTTCACTTACCACAACTTCTGTATATTGCAGTTGGGATGCACCAGTCCCTTGCACAGCAGAGTGAGGCCTGCATCTCCAATATTGTTTTCACCCACAGCCAGATGTAACAAAAGAGGCTTTGTACTGAGAACTGTGGCTAGGTCCCCACAGCTGTCAGCTGTTGTGTCACAGTTCTCCAGACTGTAAGGAACAGAAGAATCAATATTCAGCAGGAGTTTCCCCAGAATTCAATGTAGACAGAACATCATCAACAGAACAAGATAATCAGGAACAGCCAGCATTGATTCTCCAAGAGAAAGTCATGCCTGACCAACTTGATTTCTATCCAAGAAGTGGTGACAGGCTCTGTGGAAGGTGGTGGAGAGAAGTGGATGTGAGATACCTCAGTTTTAACAAGGCTTTTGGAAATGCAGGGCGAAGGAAATGCAGACTTAAGTACTCCAAGGTGGATAACGTAACTGGTTGGATCATTGCTCACCAGCCAGTCAGTGGCTCAATATTTCATTGGGAGGAGGTATTGAGTGGGGTTCCCCAGGAATCTGTCCTGGGCCCAATATTGTTTAATATCTTCATTAACGATTTGAACAATGGGACTGATGGCATGCTTAGCAATTTGTGGATGATCCCAAGATGGGTGGAAACACTCTGGAGGAGTGGTTCTCAACCTTTTTGTACTTAAAGCACCTTCACTGCAGTTGGGACAACCCTCCCTATCATGTAAATTGGGTGGCACCCAATTTCAAAGGCTAAATTTCTATATTACAGTGCTTATCTCCTTACAGAGGGGCTTAGCAGTAGGGGTAGATCGTATAGGCAGGGGCAAACCTGAGCCTGGCTTATCTGATTATCTCCTCACATTATGTGGCAGTTTTCAAAGCATCTTTTAGTACCCTAGCATGCCCAGCACCCTGCTTGAGAATCACTGCTCAAGAGGGTAGCACTAGGATCCAGAATGACATGGACAGACAGGAAAAGAAGTCTCAGATCAACCTAGTGAAATTCAAAAAGGACAAGAACAGAGTCCTGCGCTTGGGATGGAATAACTGTATGCGCAAATACAGATGGAGTACTGATTGGTCAGGCTGCAGTACTCCAAAGAAGTGTCTGGGGTTTCAGTGTACCATAAGCTGAATGAGCCAACAGTATGCTGGATTGTATTAACAGGAGTGTCTCTTGAAAATCAAGGGAAGCATATTCTTCTGCTCTTTGGCATAGATGAGGCCTAAACTAGAACATTGCACCAAGTTTTGAGCCCCACACTTCAAGAATGTGGACAGACTGGAGGGAAAAAAAGGAAGAATCCAGCACACAGCAATAAAAAGATTAGAGGGACCTGGGAAACACAATATATGAGGAAACAAAGTTGTGCTTGTAAAGCTACCCTGAGTGCCTGCAGTACTTCTGGCACTAAGGATTGTGTGTATAGTTTTTGGGGGTTTTTTCCCATGGAAGGGCAAGATCTGTTACAGTAGGGAAGACCAGCTGTTACTTACTGTAGTAACTGCAAGTTAGAGTTTGGATTCATCAGTCCCTGGCACAGCTGTTTTATTGCTGCATCTCCCAGTTTATTGTTACTTATGTCCAGTTTCTTCAGGGTGGCCTTGCTCAGAATGGATGTAAGCATCTCAGCATTATCCCCTCTGAGCTCACAAGACCTCATCCTGCAAAAAGAAAAACAGGTTTTCTCCACACTGGCCTTGGCATGTGTAAATCTTGTCTGGCCAGGAACAGAGGGCACCGTTTGACCTTCACTCCACGATATGCAAACTGGTTAATATATAGGTCAAAATACTCATGAATACATTCCATAGCAACACCCCCCATAATCCTCAGCCATTGACTTTATATGGTAACTTTGGCGTATTTCCAGGGGGGGTCTCCTCAGAGGTTGGTTTGGAGGTATTGACAACAGTAGTTATTTGCTCTCTAGTATATATGGCTGCTTACAGATATGGGGGAACGTGCCCAGAAGAGGAATGGCATCAGTTTGATGTGGCTTGCCCGGTGCCTGTATAGCTCATGTGCTCCTGCAGGCCTTTTTGGCACTTTTAACTAACAGCTGATTCAATCAGCTAATAGGTAAAAGTGCCAAAAAGCCCATTTGAAATGCACAAATTATACAGACCGGGTCAAACTGACACAATTCCTTTTCTGGTAAAGTGCTGGGGTTTTTAACCACACGTCTGTCAGCATCATTTGAAAACATTCACAGGATTGCACACTGGTTTGCTTAGGCGCTCTGTATATTTCTGCAGTTGCAAGAAAACATTCTACCACCACTCACCAAACCTTTCTGAAGGGAACTTACTTCTCCTGTTTGATATCTTGAAACTAAAAGCAGGACAGAGCCACACCCACAAAGAGATCAGTCCTTGTGCCAATGGTCTGCACTGTCCATTATTGACCACCACTTGTTTGTTTGTTTATATATATTTCCTTTTAAGTGCCAAATCAATTCCAGATTCAATTGGACAAAAGCCCAGTAATCAAGCTCCAAATTCAACTGAGCAGAGCTCCATCACTCAACTCTGTGTGGCTCTACCACTGGCCAAGTCTCCCCTCTCCCACACCCATAGGACTGGGGCTTTGGGTACACCCCAAATCTATGGCAGGCATCCTATGTGCAAGCCCAGGCTGGGGGACCTTGGAGTTCAGATGCCCCCTATAGTCTTGCTTGCACCTAGAAAAAGGCTGAGGTCAACCGTCTGTTTCTTGCCCTTACCACCTCCTGCAATTTCCAGTGGTTGGTCATGATTGCCGGGGCCTCATTGCATAGTCCATGTTTTATCCAGAAACATCCTAAGACCTTGTAGAACCACGGCTGCTCCATGGTCCATGGTCTCCCATTGAGCAGCATGTACACCCACCAGTATTACAGCAGATGCTCTGCGATGTACCTTACAAAGCAGGCTGTTTTGCACTCTGGTCCAGTTGCCAGTTTGCATATCAGGTTGTGTACTTGGCCCAGAGGAACAACAGGACATCTGGCATTGCTTGGCCCACGCTCTATTCTGCAGTGTACAGGGTTTTCCCTCGCTGCCTTCTCCCACCTGGAGCCCCAGAAGAAGATACAGCCCTTTGGATTCTATGGGCTATCTGCTTCAAGCAGGGAGAAGATGAGTGCAGTGTAGCAGAAGCACTAGTAGCGACACTGCCCTTGTGAGTGCCACGCACCTGCCCACAACAGGCCAGCCTGCTGCTAATCCCAGCACTGCAGTAGAGACCCACAACTGTCACTGAGAATCAGCAAACAGAATGCACCTGCCAGAAAAGCACGGGAGGAGAGCAGCAGTTTGTTACTTACATGAGACTCTGTACCTTGCAGTTGGGATCCAGCAACCCTTGCCAGAGCACTTTTCCTCCAGAGGTTTCTAGCTTGTTCCTGCCTAGGTGCAGGTCTGTCAGAGACGGTTTTGCACTGAGAACAGAGCGGAGAATCTCACAGCAGGCACCTGTTAGGTTGCAGTTGTCCAGCCTGAAAGAAGAAACCAGGGTAAGAAGAAGGTATGCCAATAATTCATACCATTTCCCAAGGACAGAGCCACCACAGGTTTGGTACAACACCGCAGTACCAACAACAGGGAAATATGCCCAGGCTGCCAGATGTATTATCAACACAAGGACTGTGTACCAGGCTAAATGCCATGGCAGGATGATAGCTGGTAAATCTGGTCCTGTTCAAGATATTTTATCAGCTGATTTTATAGCTGCAGTATGAAAACCCCATGTTCCTTTACCAGCAACTCCTTGTGCAATGCCCAAGAACCTCTTCCACCAGTAGCATTAAGAATGACACAGTTGCCATCTAATAATGCAGAACAGTTTTTGTTCACTAGCACTTGCTAGTATAAGAAGCCAATTCCAGTTGGAGATCTCCTTTGTGTTCTCTTCCCTTGATGCCTTGGAACAAAGGTCCAGGGAACGGCTTGTGGGCAACATGGTGCCTGCAACCACAGGAAAGTAACAGTTGAAACAAAGGCTGACAGGGAGGGGAACATACTGTATTTTCTCACATATAACACATCTTTTTTCCAAAATGCACGTGGAGCACACATTAGATTTGAGAAAATATGGTAACAGCCTTTTCTGTCACTTCAGCTGGGCAAAAGCCCAAGTAAATTCTGCATATGATCCACAGGGAGCAGAACAATGAGTGGGGCTCAGCTCCCTACCTATTGCTACTAGGTCATGACAAGGAACAATCTTGGTTTATTTGTTTTTGAAAGGGAGAATGTAGGAAAAGGTGCCCGTCTTATTCTGGGACATGTTTTATGAGAGAAAGTATGGCATATTGCTGACCACTGTATGTTCCATGCTTAACACTTGCCACCAGCTGTGGCCATGTTTTCTGGCAGGAATGTCATTTACATGCCGGACTCTAGGGACAGCAGCTGCAGCTTTCCAGGGCCAGTAGAAAAACTACACTTGGTTGGACTTGCTGGAGTCTAGGACAACAGAACAGACTCACAACTAACTGCGTAGCTATTAAACAGTTCTCCGAAGCGTGCAGAAGACAGGATTTGCAAGGTGTCAACACCAGTACAAGCAGCTGTAGCTGAATGGTGCTGTTCACTGTCCTACATCTTGCTTGAGCTGACCTGGCCACATAGTCTAATCACACACAGTGGGGGAGTCAGCTCTTACCCTTAAAGGGTCTTTGTAAGGACTAGCGCAGTCCAGGAACCAGATGCTGGCACCATTACTGTGCACATTTGAGGTTAATGGTGACTGAAATCAACTTCATGCCACTGGACGTGGTGACAACTAGGGAAGGACTCCTGGGGTTCCCCCCAAAAGGTTGACAGAGGACAGAGTGCTGGGGCACACAGGCAGAGTCCACTCAGTTCAGTGGAGCTGCAATGCTCTACCTGAGCAGAGGAGCTGAGGTTCCACCCCCACCCTCACAAAGTCTGAATGAAGATGGAGACAGGAGCTCTGGTGCAGAGCAGGCAGAGGAGCCTTACCACAGCAACTCCAAGTTACAGCTTGGTGTCAGCAGCCCTTTACACAGTACTTCCACACCCTCATCCTTGAGCTCATTATGATCCAACTTCAGCTCTTTCAGGGACTGGTTTGTACTGAGGACAGAGCAAAGATCTTCACAATGACTCCTGGAGAGCTTGCAGTAATCCAGCCTGTGGGACAGAGATGTCATTAAACCCAGTCACCTGTTCTTATCCAGCCAATGCAAAAAAAAAAACAACCCCTGAGTCTATTTCTGTTCTCTACAGAGGAAGTTTTATGCCTTAGTCCAGTTCCTGGAGGGACTTGCTACCAAGAGCCATGCAGCACTTTATGCATATCTACAGCCCAGACCACAAACCAGAATACCTGCCTTGGCAAGGGGGCTTCTAGAACGGGTGGGCAAAATATGGCCTGTGGGCCAGATCGGCCCTGCACCAGACTCCATTTCCCAGCAGCCCCTATCTACACTGCTGTGGCCGGTTTCCATGGAAACCCCAGGAATGATGGGCCATGACAGCTTGGGGCCAGGGTTTCCATGAAGACCGTCCCCAGCAGCACTGGCAGGGCATGTGGAAGGAGCTGCTCCGGGGGCTGGGACCTTGCAGCAGTGACAGTGTGGTCCAGAGCCAGGGCAGAGCTTGATCCACTGTCCATTCCCTGGGCAGGGGCATATAGGTAGCGGATCATAGCTCTGCCCTGGCTCTGGACCATGCTGTTGCCGCTGCAAGGTCCCAACCCTGGCCCCTGAGCAGTCTGGGAAACGGAGTCCAGCTGCCAGCTGGATCCACCTTTTTGCCCACCCCAGTTCTAGGACAACCAAGACTCCACCTGCATTGCAGCTGTCCTAGAGGCAGTTTGCCTAGGACTTCACTGTCCTGCTCTGAAGATGGAGCATGACCCCAAACAGGGAAACACAAGTAATCTTTGGCTACACTCACCTTTCATGTCTCCTGTTGCTGGACAAACTCAGTAGCTAGAGTCTGGTTCTGGATTGGCCACCAAGAGCTCCGAGAACAACATACAGCCTGTTAGACTCATCTACAGGAACTGACCAGATCTGTGCCTTGTTGGGTTTCTTGGCCTGAAGAGTCTTTGAGGAAAGCTGCTCTGACATAAGGGCTGGGAGCAAACAACCAGTCACCACAGGGCAAAGTCCTGTTAGAATAGGACAAGTTCTCTGTATGCCCAAAGGTCCCTGCTTTGGCTCCTTCCACAGCTCTGAGATGAGCTGGGGTCTCTGCCTGCCTCATCCCTCCAAGGTCACATGGAAGACCTGGAGAGGAGGCACCAGCTGGACCCCCACTTTCCCAGATGCAAGGGCTCCCCAACATACTTGTGGGTCCAGGAAAGATACAGCAGGAAGGAGGGCCCAAATTGGGCCCCATTTGGTTCTTAACCTCTACTAAAACTCTTCCTGCTCAAACTGCTTCTGCAGCTGCTCCTGTCTCCTACTTCTGCAGGACACCAGTCTCCTGCTGGTATTAAACTCTGAGCACTGGCATGTGGCCCCGATTCTCTAGAGACTGCCCAGGGGAGGATGCAGACAATCTGAACCAGTCCATATAGCTTAGCTACATATGGCCCATGCAATCCTTCTTAACCCAACTCCTGACCTGCAACAAGGTCAGCTGCAACATGCCTGCTTGCCCTCCTCATGGCTGTCAACCCCCTCCACAGCAGCCTACTGCTCATTCTGCCCAACCTGAGATGGTTGAGCCAGGCACATGAGCCCACAGCAGAAGGACCCGCAGCAGCAGTATGGAACCAGCTCCTTCCAGCAGCCTCAACCTGCCCCATAGTACTCACTCTGGTTCACCTGCTCAACACACAGATCAGATCCAGAAGACTGCTAGAGTAGCAAGGGTTAAAATGGATAGCATACAAACTTCCCTGATGTTCAAGTGCTGGTCAGATTATAGGGTTCATCCATGTCCGGCCTGAATTTCTGCCCTGCACTCCCAGAAAATACAGCTATGACTGAAGATGCTGCCATGTGATGGACAGAAAGAAAACAGACCCCTTCCCTATGCTTCATAAGGAGCTTACAGGAAGAAAGAAAGAAAAAGAGTGGCAGTTAGAATATTCTGCATAGACACTGTCAGCTGGGGCATCACTAGCTTGTTAGAGTGGCCCCAAAACCCAGGAACTACATCTGTACCCTACACATACCAAACTGAGACCAGGAAAGGAGAATTTCTCTGGATAAAGGAGCAGGTTACTGCCCCCAGCATACTCTTCTTGAATTTCCAACCAGAATAAACAAAATCCTTCTAACCCTTCAGAAGTTCCCAAGTCAAACCTGCACACAAAGCCTGTCCAGCAGGAAGGCTGCAGCTGAGTCTTGTTACATGCTCTTTCAGCAATATTTTTCCTTCTTTCTTTCAAAAACACTTCAGCTTCATTTCTCTAGAAGGGACTAAACCAGTGCTTTTCACCTGGTGTGGTGTGACACACCGGTGTGCCACAAAGAGTCCCCTGGTGTGCTGCAAGAATTTTTGAATAACGAGAAGAAAGTTCTCCAGCCACCTAGTGCTAACAAAAAAGCTGTGTCGATGAGATATTCACAAAAGACTCACACATGTTGGCTGTGGGGGAGAGAGAACCAGCCGAGCAGAAAGAAATTCACCTACTTTATGTGTTGTTGTGGGAGATGCACAGTTTGCAGTCCTCTGAACAGCTGTGCCGTGGAAGTTTGCTGCAGCAATGGCTACAATGAGCTCAAAAGTATGGGGATGGAGAATGCTTTAACAGGTGTGCCATGGAAAATGTTTATTAATGTAAGCATGCCCTGGGCTGGAGAAGGTTGGGAAACTGGACTAGACAATACCAGGAACTACCTGATGGCTTTGCAATCTTTCATGGAAGAAACAAGCTCAGTCCACCTGGACCCACTCAACTCCTGGCACTCGATGTCGATATCCATTTTAAATGGTGATGTGGGACCTGAAGACTTAAGGAGGGGTCAGACAGATTTCTCTCTGTGGAAAACCAGAACAAACCGTTACTCTCCAAGCCCTCCAGTCCTGCTCATTCTGCTACATGTATGAACCCTTAAGCATCAGGATTGTGTAATTCACTGTTTTAACAAGGCCTTGATTGAACAGTTACATTCAATGAAGGGTCATCAGGACTGAAAGTGTCCCCTTAACTAGAACCATAATCAGACTCCCACTAATTAACCTGGCAGCAGTTGTGGCACTTGGCCCAGTCCTGAGCTGCCATCAAAGGCAATGATGTACTTTTCAGGCACTATATGGCCTTTCCTCAACTGCTACTTCTCAAAATCTCTCCTTGTACTTATGGAACGCAGCCATGCCACGGTGCTTCAGAGGGGGGCATTTGAATGGTTTGTATCAATCAGAATTTGGTAACTGTCACGGAGTGGGGCCTACGAGCGGCTGTGATCCCGCTAGCGCCCCCTTGCCGTGGCAATTAGGAGATCAGCACCCTCTTATTCTCGCCCGCCATGTCTTTGATCTTATATAATGTAATATGGGAGGCTGCCTATGATCTCCTGAGATTTAAGGGTGACTTGGTGCACCCCCAGCCTTATAGGCTATGCGTGCCTCCTACCTCCCCTTTAGCACACCCCAAGCCTCGCAGCTGTTCCTGATGTTCTTGTGTCTCCAATCTTCCGCTAGCCCTCCCGGGCTTCGCTCTTACCGGCTGGCCCCCTAGGGGCCTAGGCCACACGCTTCCCACGCTTCTGCCCCTCTTGCCCCTCACTAGGGCCTTTGTCTGCACTACTCGCGCCCATGGCTTTCTCTTAGCCGGTCCCGCCAAGCCTATTTCCGCCCGCTCGCGCCCGTGGCTCCCGCCGAGCCTATTTCCGCCCGCTCGCGCCCGTGGCTCCCGCCGAGCCTACATACCAGCCCTGTCTCCAGCTTCCCGGCGCTGGGGCTCAGGTGGCATGCAGCCGTGCCTGGCCCCTGACCCTTCTCAGGGTCCCTATGCCATGCACCTCTTGTGCGCTTGCCCTTGCTAGGGCCTGCTCCGTGCTGCGCGCGCCCTTGGCTCCCTCCGAGCCTACGCACCCTTGGCTCCCGCCGAGCCTACGCACCAGCCCCGTCTTGGGCTTCCCAGCGCTGGGGCTCAGGTGGCATGCAGCCGTGCCTGGCCCCCTGACCCTTCTCAGGTTCCTAGGCCCTCACTGGGCCGAATACTGCCCTCTCCAGCCAGGGTCTCAACCCCACACACCGCACCACTCTGGTGCCAAGCTGCTGCGCCTTCCCGGCACTGCTCGGTGCCCGCACAGGGCACCCAGGAACCCC